AGTTAAGTTACGATGGTATGCCTGGCCTTGGTTGACTTTTTTCTTAGATCCAGTCTTCCCCTTCTCCTTCTCAGCTGTGCTCTCCAGGGCCTGCTCCTGCAGACTTCTTTTCCTAGGATCCTTCCTCACCTGGCTTTGGGCTCCTTTAGGTTGAGGGGAAGTACTGCTGAAAGGCTTGTTTGCAGGAAGAACTGAGAAGCCACAGGACATAGTTTTGTTCCCTCTCTGCTCTTGCCCGACAGGCCCATCATGGTGCTTTTTCCTTGAGTAACCACAGTCCCCAAGCTCTATTCACCTGGCCTCCTCTTTTTGTGCCTATAGTTTAAGGGTGCTGGTGGTTTCCTGGGCTTCCCTGGTGGTTCAGTCAGTAAAGAATCTACCCGCAATGTGGGAAACCTGGGTTTAATCCCTGGGGTGGGAAGATCCCCTGGAGAAGGGCTTGGAGGAGTGGTTTCCTATTGATATTAATCTTTAGATTCTCTTTATTCCCATTTGGCTTTTTTTTTTTTTTTTTACTTTTTTCATTATCTCTGTAATTAATTCTTTGCATTAAAATTCTCTACTTTAAATGCTTTAAATTATTTTGATTGCCTGCTTGGAATACTCATATAACTGTGCAGCTAGTTAAAAAGAAAAAAGCTATATCAACATATACTGAGTGGAAGAATGTTGCTGATAAGTTGCTGACTCCAAGAAGGATAGTTACTGTATCATTTTTTTAATTTAAAAATACTTTACCTATACCTTTGTTTAGCATGATCAGTTTTTTTTTAAAAAGGTGTATGTTTAAATGTTAAATGATAATAATGGTGATAATAATTAACCTTTGTAGGGAAAAACAGGTATGACAAAATGCCCAGCAGGATAAGTTGTTATTGTGAAGTAGAAGGGAGGCATGTATATGAATGTTTTGAGGGGAAGGGCTGCACCTACTTTTGACTTTATTCATTTATTTTTAAAAGTCTTTTCACTTTATATACCTAAATGTTTAGATTTTCCCCATGATGCATAACATTTGTAATTTCAAAACATTTTTAAAGCAGGTAATAAAGCATTGTGTCTAATATGATCACTTTTATTAAATATATATCTCTGTATGTATTCATTTGTAATGGGAACCCCCCTGAAAGTACAGTCAGTTCTGCAATATTTTGAAAGTGTGAATTTCCTCCAAAAGGATTAATATATTATGGAATAATTTGAACATGCCTTCTATGTGTGTGTATGTGATTTTGTCAGGGAGAGTTCCAGGTGAATGTTAAAGGTAGTACCTAACTGAACGAAAAGGCTTGTTGTTGTTGTTGAATTGCTAAATTGTGTCCCGACTCTGTGACCCCATGGACTGGAGCACGCCAGACTTCCCTGTCCTTCAGTATCTCCTGGAATTGGCTCAAACTCATATCCTTTGAATTGGTGATGCCATCCAGAGATTTCATCTTCTATCATCTCCTTCTCCTCCTGGCCTCAATGTTTCCCAGCATCAAGGTCTTTTCCAATGAGTTGGCTCTTTGCATCATGTGCCAAAGTATTGGAGTTTCATCTTCAGCATCAGTCCTTCCAGTGCCTTCCGATGAATATTTAGGGCTGGTTCCTTTAGGATTGACTGGATTGATCTCCTTGCTGTCCAAGGGACTCGCAAGAGTTTTCTCCAGCAACATCATTCAAAAGTATCAGTTCTTCGGCACTGGTCTTTCTTATGGTCTAAATATCACATCCATACATGAGTACTGAAAAAAAATCATAGCTTTGACTATATGGACCTTTGTCATCAAAGTGATGTCTTTGCTTTTTAATATGCTGTCTACATTTGTCATAGCTTTCCTTCCAAAGAGCAAGTGTCCTTTCATTTCATGACTATAGTCATGGCCCACAGTGATTTTGGGGCCTAAGAAAATAAAATCTGTCACTGTTTCCAACTTTTTCCCTACCTGTTTGCCACGAAGTGATGGGACTGGATGCCATGATCTTAGGTTTTTGAATGTTGAGTTTTAAGACAGCTTTTTCACTCTCCTCTTTCACCCTAATCAAGGGGCTCTTTAGTTCCTCTTCACTGTCTGCCATTAGAAGGGTATTATCTGCATATCTGAGGTTATTGATGTTTTTCCCAGCTTGATTCAAGCTTGTGATTCATCCAGCATGATATTTTACATTACATTCTCTGCATATAAGTTAAATAAACAGGGTGACAAAATACAGCTTTTGACATACTTCTTCCCCAACTTTGAATCAGTCTGTTGTTCCATGTAAGGTTGTAACTATTGCTTCTTGACCCGCCTACAGGTTTCTCAGGAGACAGGTAAGGTAGTTTGGTACTCCCATCTCTTTAAGAATATTCCAAGTTTGTTGTGACCCACACAGTCAAAGGCTTTTAGCATAGTCAATGAAGTAGAAGTAGATGTTTTTCTGGAATTCCCTTGCTTTTTCTATATTCCAGTGGATGCTGGCAATTTGATCTCTGGTTCCTCTGCTTTTTATAAATCCAGCTTGAACATCTGGAAGTTCTTGGTTCATGTAGTTTTGAAGCCTGACTTGGAGAATTTTGAGCATTACCTTGCAGGCATGTGAAATGAGCACAATGATCTGGTAGTTTGAACATTCTTTGGCGTTGCCCTTCTTTGGGATTGGACTGAAAATTGATCTTTTCTAGTCCTGTGGCTACTGCTGAGTTTTCCAAATCTGCTGACATATTGAGTGCAGCACTTTCACAGCATCATCTTTTAGTATTTTAAATAGCTCAGCTGGAATTCTGTCACCTCCACTAGTTTTGTTTGTAGTAATGCTTCATAAGAAACGTAAGAAACATTTCTTGACTTCACACTCCACTCCAGGATGTCTGGTTCTAGGTGGGTGACTACACCATCATAGTTATCCAGGTCAGTAAGATCTTTTTGGTATAGTTCTAATGTGTATTCTGGCCACAGATATCAGAGGAACGTTTCATGCAAATATGGGCATGGTAAAGGACAGAAATCGTAAGGACCTAACAGAGGCAGAAGAGATTAAAAAGAGGTGGCAAGAATACGTAGAAGAACAGAAAAGCTTAGGGAGACACAAAATGCATACACATGCATGTGCCTTAAACATCTGCCACTGTCCACAAGTCTGACTCAGTGTTGTGAGCCATTGTATCCAGATCTCTGGCTTTACAGCTTGTCATATGTTTCAGATAAGCCTCCTTCATACTCCGTAGGACAATGGACAAGTCTTCCAAGACTAGCTTCCACAAACAATGGTTAGGTCAGATCTTTTTCAAGATGAGATACCATATTTATTGTAGTTTTATGCATTTCTTCACCATATAACATGTGCCAGCTACAACTGGCACTTGCCATCTTCCTCTGTAAGGATTAAATCATGTGCTGCTGCAGCTGGTGATTTTCAACAGCACTTGAAAGGAATTCATGGTGGAGAGCAGAAATGAGGCACTCTGTGTTCTGGGAAAACTGGCAGAACAGGTCTTCAGATAGTTAGATATTTTTAGAAGCCCAATTCTTGTATCTCCTCATACTAGAAAAACACTAAACTCCTTGATTACATCTGCTCCTTGTGACTAGCAGTGAGCTTCTCGAAAGTAGCAGAAACTTTCTGCAAAAAATATATGTGTGATTGCATGTAGGCACTCTCATCAAAATCATATATCCTGACCTTTCCCCCTACCTCTTTGGATAAATTTCTTAGAGCTATCTGAAATGCTGTGTCCCTGGCTATTGTCCTCATTTTGCCCCAAATAAAATTTAACTTGCAGCTTTCATGTTGTATATTTTAAGTCAATACATACATGTACAAAAGCATGCTACCATTTTTTATTAGGTTCTGATTTTTTTCTCCTTGTTGACCATTAAGGAGTTTTTGAGTATTGCATTCTAATCCCATTTTTCTCATTAGCCCCATGGTTTTTTATTGTACATACTTGCATAGTACATTGATTTTTAGTAATAAGCATGTCATATGATAGTGGAACTAATTATACATATATAAAAATGTTAATAGTGTCTCTGGGTAGCAATTTATTTATTGCTTATCTATAGTGTCTGTTTATTTCTCCGAGGACAGTCATGTGTTAATAACCTAATTATATCTACATAAACATTTTTGAAAGATGAGGTGGGAGTCAAAGGATGACCATAGCTATTATAAGTGAAGGACTGATTCAGAAAGGTCTATTTACTCATTGGTGATGCAATCAGTTAAGTGCCTTTTAGCCTACATAGGAGGCACAAACAAATCATGCTTCTCCTGGGAAACAGAGAGAATGTCTCTCAGCAACACCTTAACTGCTGCTTCAATCCAAATCCCCATTAGCACTAAGAAGAATACATGCCCTTAAATTGGTTTTCAAACATTCAGATGTGAACATGATACAGATGCAGGAACACATAGGCAATCACCAGTACGATATAGTTGGTGCTTACTGGCTTTTGAGGTTAGTCTTATTACCTGAGATCAGACCACCTTGTCTTTCAGAAAATGTGACACCGTCAGGAGACTACAAACCTGAGCCCAATGTGAATATCCAAAGGGAGAGAAAAACAGGTATAGTATTTTCCTCGTGTGATTTGCATCTTGAATTTCCACCTCCTTTTTCGGAGTGGACTTTCACTTGCCATCACTTTGTTCCTTCTCCTCTCCAAGGAGGGATCACCTGGGTGTTTTGTTTGTTTGCTTCTCTCTTTTTTTAGTGATAAACGACTCCACCTGCAGCTAAACTCCATTGTTGATCTGTGACCTGGGCAGGAGCCCTTCCTCCTCTTCCCCTCCGGAACGTGCGTGGCGTCGGGTCAGTGGCCTCTGACCTCTGACCTCGCGCCTGATTGATCCTTGTCTTTTCCTGTCTCGTCACACCCAGCCTGCACACAGACTCTGCTGTTGGCTCTGCTCTGCGGGGCTCGCTTCCTCGCCCGTCTCTCGGTCCGTGCAGCACAGCTCGCTCTGCGTTCAGCCTCTGGCTTCAGCCGCTGAAGCACAAACACTCTCCAGCTGGGAGTCAGACAAGGGCAGAGATGAAGAACCCAGAAGCCCAACAGGATGTTTCGGTTTCCCAGCGGATTCGCATGATGTTTTATGTGATGAAGCCCAGTGAAACGTCATTCCAAACCCTGGAAGAGGTGCCTGACTATGTACGGAAGGTGAGGCTCTCTGGGAAGAGGCTGCTCTTGCTTTTCTCTTAATAAGAAGTAACTGAAACACAGTGTGGGGTTTCATTCATGTCCATTCTTCAAATAATAATAATAAAAATAGTTCCCCAAAAAAAAGTATGGGGGAAAAGTAGAATTTCCACTTGAATTTCTGTACAATATCCCTAACCTTCTCTTCCTGTTAAATTTCTCTTCCCTGAAAGGTCACTCCAGAATGTGATCAAACTTTAAAAAGTTTTCCTGGACACAGTGGCATTACAAATTTAGCTGTTAGAAGCTCAGTATCCAATGGTTATGTGGTATCAGTAAACTTTGTAACAATTTTGTTTCTAAAGGAAAACTTGTCTACCACCTCCCAGGAAACGATTTCCTGTTTTGTTTTGTTGTTGTTGTTGTTTTAAGCAGGGTGGTTCTGCAGAATGGACACACAGCTGAGAGTTCAACCCTGATTTCCTAAGTTTGAACTTGTAAAACAAGTTTTCTTTTAAACTCTTTAAGTGTTCAGAGGCACTTTTCACTTCTGGTTACTGGCTGTGATTGGAAGTGGAAATATCCAGAATTAGAACTTGAATACTGAAGTTCCCCACCCTGTCAGAGTTGTTCCTAAAACACTTACTAGTTCAGACCAGAAATAGAAAAGAAAATGACATCAGAAAATATGTTCTTAGGCTTCGGGTTTAGAAAATTTCAGTACTCATGATCAACTTTCAAATGAGAGAATCCCATAATTTTTTCAGGATTTGATATTACTCCTTTCTGATTTTCAAAGGAAAGAATGTGGTACTCACATCTTTATAAATCATTATTATTTTATATTATGACACCAAAACTAGCCCGATATTTGTCATCAATTATAGATGATAAATTTTTTTCTATAAGAACTGAATGAATAAAACTTGAATGATGTCTAAAATCTCATTCTCTGAAATATTCAGAAGCAAAATTTTTTGTTCTTACAGTTTCAATTTTTTTCAAAATTTTATTAGAGTATAATTGATTTACAGTGTTGACTAGTTTCTGCTGTACCACAAAGTATGTCAGTTATACATACATATATCCATTCTTTTAAAGATTCTTTTCTCATGTAGGTCTTACACAATACTGAAAAGAATTCTCCATATGCTTTATAGTAGGTCCTTATTAGCTATATATTTTATATATAGTAGTGTGTATTCCTACAGTTTCAATTTTGTGATTCCTGTCATTCTAATATGAAAAAATAAAATCATGCACATCTTTAAGGAAAGTGATTGAAAGTGGACCTTACCTTTGTAGTGTATTGATAAATTTCTGATTATTGCACTTATTTTAAAATGTATTTCTTAGACCTTGAAACATGTCCTGCCTAATTTTTTAAATTTTCTTGGCATAATTATTGTGGTTACATCTATGGTTATATTTCTTTCTTTTTAAAATATATTTATTTATTTTGGCTGTGCTGGGTTTTCATTGTTGCACAGGCTTTTCTCTCGTTGCAAGTAGGGGCTACTCTCTAATTGTGGTGTGAAGGCTTCTCATTGTAGTGACTTCTTTTGCTGGGAAGTACAGGTTATAGGCCACCTCATGCGAAGAGTTGACTCATTGGAAAAGACCCTGATGCTGGGAGGGATTGGGGGCAGGAGGAGAAGGGGACAACAGAGGATGAGATGGCTGGATGGCATCACCGACTCGATGGGCATGAGTTTGAGTAGACTCCGAGAGTTGGTGATGGACAGGGAGGCCTGGGGTGCTGTGATTCATGGGGTCACAAAGAGTTGGACACGACTGAGCGACCGAACTGAACTGAACAGATTATAGGGCAGGTGGGCTTCAGTAGTTGCGGCTCCCAGGATCCTGAACACAGGCTCAATAGTCGTGGCACACAGGCTTAGTTGCTGTGTAGCATGTGGAAACTTCCTGGACCAGGGAATGAACCCGTGTCTCCCACGTTGGCAGGCGGATTCTCCACCACTGACCCGCCAGGGAAGCCTCCATGGTTGTATTTCGTGTCCAAATAGAATGATAGAATTGGAGCACCTTGTTAGTATGTGTCTGAAATAAACAGATTTCTTTGCCTGTCGGGAGGAAATGATCACTGAGGATAGGTTCATACCTTTTCTGCTATGAACTGTCACTCTGGGCTTCCCACTTCGGGAATGACTACTCAGAAAACTTGGAAGAATTTCATACCAAGCACAATAGCATCTCTCTTCTGCAATTTCCTTTCCAGGCAACTCCATTTTTCATTTCCTTGATGCTGCTTGAGCTGGTTGTTGGCTGGATTCGCAAAGGGAAGCCACCAGGCGGTTTGGATGATGCCTTAACATCTATGTCAGCCGGCATTGTGTCTCAGCTTCCGAGGTGAGTTAGCTGGTGAGCTCAGTGAGTGAATAAACTTAAATTCTCCAGGTAAGATGAAGAAGAAACCCATTGTATGGGGAATTGGTCTATTTTTACACACATCCCCAAAGAACTCAGTTACTGTCACTATCATTGTTTAAATGTCTGATATTTTGTTCATCATGGATGTTTTACATCTGTTACTGGAAATACTGCTCTAAGTATTATTTATTGTGATTACTGAATTTATTGGTGCCTCCTGAAATTTTGTGCCCAAGGCAATTGCTTCACTTGTTTTAGCCTAGTCCTAGGCCTGAGTTTTGTCCTAGTTTTCTACTGGGAAATTAATGTTGCCTCAGGCAAATTCACCTGCAGCAGCAATCTCCCTAATCAATGTCACACAAAGCTCTAGATTACTACAGTGGTCTCCTAAGTGCTATCTCTGTCTCTAGTCCTATTTTCCACTCCAGTGTTCTTGCCTGGAGAATCCCAGGGATGGCGGAGCCTGGTGGGCTGCTGTCTATGGGGTCGCACAGAGTCGGACATGACTGAAGTGACTTAGCAGCAGCGGCAGCAGTCCTATTTCATTTGCAGCCAAATATTTCCATAACGTGGATCTGGTGGAAACTCACTCATAGGTTCCTTATGGCCGGAGGATAATTTCTTCCCTCATCTGTGGAGGCCTTTGTCTATCCAGCCTGCCTTCTTGTCCCTTGATTCTTCTTCTTCCTTTGCAATAGCCATTTGCTTCTTGTTTGCCGTCACCCAGATGTCTCAAGTGGTCATCCAAGTGGCCAGCTCCCATTCATTTCTTCAGTCTAAATACAGACTTCTCATGAAGAGTCATACCCTTCAGCAAGTCTTGTCTATTTTCCAACCCTACTTTAGGCATCACTTCACTATGGGCTGAAATCACTGTGGAGTATTGTGCCTACACCATAATAGAATTGTCACATGGTATTAAGCTCACCTGTTTGCCCCCCAGCCCTTCCTGATAGGTTGCATGTAACTTGAGAAAAAGAGGTGTTCTTTCTTCATAGGTTGAACTCCTATGCGTATCGTGATGTGCAAAATAATTGCGTGTGTGTGTGTGTTTTGATGGAGTATGGTTTACAATGCTATGTTAATTTCTGCTGTACAGTGAAGTAAATCAGCTATATGTATACAGATAGCTCCTCGCTCTTGAGCCTCCCTCACCCCCATCCCACCACTCTAGGTCGTCACGGAGCACAACGCTGAGCTCCTTGTGCTATGCAGCAGGCTCCCACTGGCTATCTGTTTTACAGATGTTACCGTGTTTATATCGGGCTTCATCTCCCAGTTCATCCCACCCTCCCTTCCCTCCCATGTCTACATGTCCATTCTCTATGCCTTTGTCTCTATGAGTGTGCCCTGGAACTAGGTTTATCGGTACCATTTTTCTAGATTCCATTCATGTGTTAATATATGATATTTGTTTTTCTCTTTCTGACTTACTTCACTCTGTATGATAGACTCTAGGTATAGGAATGAAATTGGGTCCTTTGTAGATATATGGCAGAATTTAGTTTAAATCTCACATTCTTATAGTGTTATGTTGATGGTGAAGTCTGAGGATAAAGGGACTGAACAATGCATACTGGAGTGGGTTGGCATTTCCTTATCCTCCAGGGGATCTTCCCAGCCCAGGGATTGAACCCAAGTCTCTTGCGTCTCCGGCACTAGCGTGCTCACTCAGTTGTGTCCGACTCTTCGAGACCTCATGGACTGTAAACACCAGTCTTCTCTGTTCATGGAATTCTCCCAGCAAGAATCCTGGGGTTGCCATTTCCTTTTCCAGGGGATCTTCCTGGCCCAGGGATTGAACCCTTGTCTCCTGCATCTCCTTCATTGGCAGGCAGATTCTTTACCATTGCACCACCTGGGGACCCCAGAATAATGAATGCTGTGCTATTTTTTAGAAAAAATAAATTGTAATGTGTTTAGAGGAGGTACCTGTGAATGGAGGGCTCTTCAGTGATGAGAGTTTTCCCAAGAGGAGAGGATGAGGGAAGATTCCCTTAGAAGTCTATGCCTTGTATTACTGGTGAATGTTCTCATTCCTGCTTCCCACCCATTGCTTCTTTTACTGTTGTAAAAGCTTCACTTCTGACCAGTGCTCACTGCTTTGGAATGTTTGCATGAACCACCCAGTGGGAAACCAAGGTGGATTTTTTAAAAATAAAATAAGAACTTAAAGATAGCTGAGAAAAGGTAAAATCATTTCCTATAATTGAATAAAATTATTTGGATAGAAAGTAAACCTAAAGGTAAAATTTATTTCATAAATGTTACCATGAAAAAGATAGGTTAATAGTTATAAAATAATGGTAATGATGATCAGAATCGTGATTCTCTGAAAAGCTACTCATATGGTTGCATACTGCTGTCAGAATCAGAGAGTAATATCTCAAATTATTTTTAATTTCCAGAATACTCTAATTAGGAATTTACAATTATACATAATTTCCTTTATTTCATGCCTCCCTTAAACAGAAGTGAACAAACAATATATTCAGCATACTCAAGGGACAAGTATATTTGATTATTGAAAAATACTTGGTTATAATAGTTTATTCTGAGAAGCTTGAGTGTATAGTTTTATGGCAATGGAACAATTGATGAGTTGTCAAAATAACCTGATAACCGAGAAGTACCCTGCAGGAGCAATTATGAATCACATATTTTGTTGAGCTGGAATGAATTTATAAAAACTCAGGGAGACATCAAGTCGGATGAATGCTTCAGTATTTCTTTTACTGTTTTAAGTTGGACTTTGGTCACAAGTGAGATGAGATTGTTTTCTTATTATGTTGTAACAACTAGAAATGTAAACTGTATCCTCAGTACTCTATTTCTCTTCAACACTGTGATTAAAAGAAAAGGTGCAGAATTCTAACAGGATCCCCAAGGAGTAATATTTCTGCTAAAAAAGAAACCCCCAAATATAAGGGAAGTGGGGAGAGAGAAAGAGAAAATAAAACAAACTAGTTCTTCAGGGATAAGCCTGCAGTTCTTTTTCTTCACATCCCACTGCTCATAACACTCTGTAAGCTAACACAAGCTGTGAACGCTGGTGCCCTTTGAAAGAAAGGGAAAAGGTTGTGAACTTGAATTTGGAGCCTATTTTTTAATAGTTGTATTTTGAATGAGAACAGCACCTTACTTCTTTTTTGTTCACAGTTTTAAATTATGAAATGTGGATAACTTTGGACACTTTACAAATAATTTTATCTTTCACAGGCTTTTGTCTGTAAGATCTCAGCAAAGCAAATTATCTGGAAATGAATTTTCCCAATGTTTTCATTTATTTTGAGCTATCACAAAAATTCCCAGACATAAGCAGAGAAGGAAAGCTGATCCTTAGGATCCACTCTTCGCAATCCTCTTTCAGCACAAGATGAGAAGGGGGATTTGACTGAAACTCTTAGAACAATATTTCAGTTGAAACCACAGCATCAAGGGGAATCCTTGTGCAAATCGTTAACAGCTGAAGGTTAGATTATCACGACATTGATCATACCCTCTCCGAGGGACTAATTTCATTTTCTACACCAGCAACAGGGGCTTGCCATGTCCTTAAAATGCATAATTGCAAGAAAAATGGTAATATACTATTTGTTAATCCCTTTGTGAGGAATTATAGTTTGGATAGTAATTCCAAATAGGCATGTGGCCTCTGACAAAAATTGTTGCGGAAATCAAAGTGAAACCCTGAACATATTTTTCCACTTTGCCATTCATGTAATGGAAATGCTGTGTGCAGACTTTGAGGAAAAACAATGTTTATTTGAGGATCTCAGTTTCATTATAACATAAAAGTCAAAGTAGCTTAAAGATCAGTAGCAATCTTACCATATTGATGGAAAAGATCTCTGTGTATCTTTCAAATCTTTATGTAAGGAAAATTATTCAACAGAGACAACATTGTATCTTGTTTACAAGCCTGTCAGACAGACCACAATGTGTAATAAATGTCCATCTGTCCTAAGAACCAGATTCTGGGCAGGCTTGCATCTGTTTTCCTCTTCTAGAATCCGGTAGGCAGACTTCTTAGTAAGAATCTAGTTCTGAAGTTATAGACAAGCATGTGTATTTATCGTAGTTAAATGCAGTGTATCATCTGCAGATAATATGCCTTTCTATTGGTTAATTGCATATATGACTATACAAAATAAACTGAAATATTGACTAAATCAATTTTTAAAATGTAGCTAAAGCTTGTGAAATATCCTGCTACTGACTGAAATGCTAACGAGTGAAAAATAATCACATCTTTTTTTTATTTTGCTTGCTTGTTGAAGCAGAACTCAATTTCCAATCCTTCATTAGAAAACTGGGACTTCAATTTGTTACTTCCTTCCAATGTCTCTGCTTCCATAAATTGCATCCTCCCCAGAGAAATTTTATTCCTGATATAAATATCTACAGTATGTTTGTTTTTAATGGGTTCATTTATTCTGTTGAAACAGCAGATTATAAATCAAATTGCAATAGTTGGAGGTATAATTTAAGTAGGTAAATTTTCAAATGAGTTGGGACACTCCACTTTTAACACATACAAGTCACTGCCAATTTTTACAATAGAACTAGGTCTGCAATATGGCGCCAAATGTATCTACAGTTTCATTGGCCATGGCTGCCATGGCATTTTCCACTCCTGCCAAGAAAGTTTCAATTCATCAAAAAAAATAATAATAAATAAAAAGCAAAACTTAAAAGGAAATTAAACTTCTTTGAGATTCTTTTGACTCCTTGAGGTAGGACTAGAGAATAAAGGAAAACTGTGTACTGCGTTTTTATACTAGACTTTAGTAGCAGAGTTGATATTGTTTTTGGCAACATCAGACTTCTAACAAATGAGTGTCTGCCATTTGGGGTGATGAAGTTTAGTAAACATTTATTCGTTGTCCTAAATAAAAGATACATTCATTTATGTAATATTAATAATGGTATTTTATTGTGAATATTAATATGGTCATATTAACTGAGAAAATTATGAG